ATACTTGATTGATCAAGTGTATCTACGATACATGTCACGTATTCACGAAGAAAAGGATCCTAAACAGGTCGGTGAAAGCTATTCTGATGTCGATAAATGGTTAGGCGATATGCGTTGTCATTTTTTCTTGCTCACATGACACAATGAGGTCGCGGATGAGGAAAAAGTTTAGAAAATGCTGAACCATTTGAACAAGAGACGCTATCGCCTCAATTTCAAATCACTTGCGTCAAACTAACGCAATGAAGAAGTGATTCACGGATCACGTTTGTTTTGGTGTACACTCATCATATCAACTCCGAAGGGGTGTGTGACGATGGGGGAGTATGGGACTTCACCTTTCGTTTTGAGTTTCAAGTGATTGAACCCAGTAAACATCATTGACCTACCTCGAAATTGATTCCGTCGTTCCCATCCACAAATCCTAACCTGCCCTATGTGAGCAAGTCTCCTGATCAGGGTTTTCATACCCTCGTGCCAGGTCTGAGTTTGATCACCCTTGATCTTTTTCCATCCACTACCTGCTTAGGCAAACAGAACGCGCCGTGATAACCCATTTGGTGATGCGCTACACACGCCCCAATCAACGCAGCCGATGAAGGTCGACCGCTTGATCCATTGAAAGACCGCCGTCACTTAGAACTCTGAGCCCAACCTCTGCACTGCATGTCCGGTTGCCCCGCCAGATTCGTGCAATGCTGCGTAGACAGTAGTGTTCAAACACCGACAGTCTGTCTTTGTCCTGTTTTAGTGATGACCAAGGCTCTGCTCCATACAGCAGTACTGGTCGAACTGCCGCAGCATACCGTCGACTCTCAACAGACAGCCGGATGTCTCGACGGCACCAAAGATGTCTCAAGTTGGCAAATGCCAATCGAGCCTTCTGTTTGTGAGTTGACATTTCATCCGTGATGCGTTCACCGGGTGAGATGCAGCTGCCCAAATACCAAAACTTATCCACTTGTTCTATTACTTCCGAGTTAGAGTAAGTCAGGGTGCTCGACCAACCCAGTTTTGTAGCAACATTTTACATTTTGAGGGTGCAGAACGCATACCGAACATAACTGCGTTGGCGCTCAGACTATCCAGAAAAGCTTGCAACTTACGTGGATTTTCACTTGGCAGTACCATATCGTCTGCATACTCAAGATCAGACAATCATCCATCTGGAAGCAGATCGATACCACTATGCTCGCACGAGGACAAGGCTGTTTCCATTATCAAATCTATAACCAAGTTAAATAGGAAAGGATAGAGAGAAGGGCTAACCTGACGAACACTACTTTCGTGGTGAACTAGGGCGAAAAAGTGCCGTAAGCTCAGACTCCACTTCGGCTATAATCGAGGGGGATGGAAATAAACCTCTCGAACACACCGTTCACAGGGAGAGGCAGCACCAGAGTTTAGAGCAGTTGACTAACTCGAAAACCGCTTTCCCATTGAGAAAGACTGAAATGGCGGGTCTAAGAAAGTAGTGCCTGTGTTCCAGAATTTTACG